TTTAAGTACCATGTACCTAGAGTATTTCCCAACACTGCTTGTTTATTAATTTTTATATAAAAACGTTGACGGAATTACTAAGGTTTCTCGAACGATCTTCAAATCTTTCAATATCTGCCTATTCTATGTTTTGGTAGGAAAGGCAGCGCAAACGGGTCCCCTTTGCGTTGACCTTTAGCACGCGATTCTTCGATTACAGCACCAACTACGGGAGCACCAGATGAGGTTCAAAGCGGTTGCTGCATTTTGTTGCCTCCTTTGAGTGAGGATGCAATGTGAGCACCTCCTGTAGTGGGCGAGAGTATCTACGTAGGGGAGTAGCGGGAACCAGCCCTTTCTTCAAATGGGTCAAGTCTCGTTAAAATTCGAAACACAAAAAAAAAAAAAAAAAAAAAAAAAAAAACGGCAGTTTTTGGCGCTAATCCCGCAGTTACTCGGCCTCTCTTCCGTCGTGCCTGTTCGCTCCCCGCGCTTCGTAGCAGTGTTGTTGCAGAGGGGAGGGGGGGGGGGGGGGGGGAGAGGAGGGATTTTGGGAGGTGTCGGGCTCTTCAACACATTTTCTCCCCCTTCCCCCTTTCCTACGCCACATGCTTTCCCCTTTGCAAATATCAGCTGACCCTCCAACTCCTTATCTCTTTTGTGCAGGAAAGTTTGTTGATAGGCAAAACTACTAAAATTCTAAAGTAATTTGGAATTTGAGTAGAAGTTACTCAGAAAAAGTAAATAAAGTAAACTACTAATTACCGAAATCGAAATGTAATAGAAAGTTACTAAACTACTCAGAAAAAGTAGTTAAACTACAGTAACTTGAGTAGAGTAGTTGAACTACTTACAAGTCGGGGATGCCGCAGCCAAGTCTGGGGTCGGGTAGTCAGTTCTTATGAATGAGTACTTAAGTCGGAGGTTTTAAGTGAGAGGACAGCAATGGTTAAGCTGGAGTAGAGATAAGGCACGGGACCTGGCCGGCGGGAATGTGACTTACTGAAACTGTTTGGTTGCACTTGGTGTGTTGTGTGACTTCCTTGGGAGCGACTGGAGCGTGGCTTGATCGAATCGGGCATCATGTAACGTCAAACGACCCCACAGTGTTTGATTGATGTCGAAGTTTATAACCGCGAATTACCGCCCGCCATATACTGGTATCTAAAGTGACGCAAAAAGCAACGTTGGTAAGTTTTTGGAAATAATGGCGATGGATATTTTACTGCATTTGCTAGACGGTAATGAATCGATTAATTTCTGACGAAATAACGATCAACGTTATTTCGTTGCTTCTTCTAGGTAACAGGGACAAGACTGCAAACTATGCCTCGTTTGCACTTAATAAAATCTCTCTTGCCGAAAAGTTCAACTAAATGTTCTTGCCGGAAGAAAAATAAAATAACGCGGGGTTTAAATTTATTGCTGCCCGCCACACCCACGCGGCCTTTGTAGCTTTCTCGCGGATACTTTATTTTATTTATTCATTCAAGCACAGTACCATCTCCTCAGCTATTGTAGGAGTATACTAACACAAATTTTTAGCATGAAAATGCAGTGACATAATAACAGATAAAAGTATCTAAAGTGAAACTCCACAGCCTTTACAAAATGTTGAAAAGACGCCAGTGTGACAGTACCGTTGGTTAGATCATTCCAGACTTGAATAACCCTTGAAACAAAAACAAACAAAACAAAAAAAAAATCTGTAACAGTAGTTTTTGAACTTATACGACTTTAATGCCCGGCAATGGTTTAACCGTGAGGGCGCCGACAGGTTTTAAGTATTTCAAACCATGGATGTGGAGACAGCCGTTTATCATAATTGCAAATAGTTCTTATTTTATTTAATTTTGCTGTCGCTTGTGATGTCCCAAGCTATGATTTTTTTTAAAATAACTCAGTTGATGATTATTTTGTGTTAAATGCATTAAACTTAAACCAATCATCTAATATTGTAGTACTTTCTAGTTTAATATTTTCATCGCTGCTGAAAGCGCACCACACTAAGCTCGCGTATTCCAAAACAGTAATCACAAAAACGTTCTCAAGCCATGAGCTTGGTATAAAAATAGGCAATTTAGTTTCTACTGCAAACAGCGTGCTTTTGAATTTTTTACCGGTCTTTTGAAAACAACGGTTCAGGTTTATACTATTATTAGGCGAAGTCCCTACACTTCGTCTCAGGTCCAGACGCAGCCGATGCTGCGAGCTAATGGAACAAGTCAAGAAAAGCGTCAAAAGCGCAACTCACCGGGTCTTGTCGGTTTATGGTTTGTTCAGCGATGATGGAACACGTACATAAACAGGAAGAAAATGATGGTGATGATGCGCTTTTGGCGCTGTCTGATTGGTTTCATCAGCTCGTAGCTTCGGCTCCCTGTGGACTCAAAGCGAAACTGAACGGGTTCTGTATTTGAGTAAAAACCCATAAATTGTCTCGATTTGGCGTCCAGCATTATGAATATCAAGATCATTAATGCGAAAGCATTTACTGTCCCATGGAGCGAAACCGGCGTTGTCGGTAGCCGCTGTCTGAAGCAGCGAAAAAACGGCACCTAAATTCCGGCTGAGCAAAACGGCACCTAAATTGCCATTGGCTGCGACGCGTGATGTGGACCCATAGCAACAGCGTCATCGTTGCCAAGGAGCCTGCTGAAGTGCTGGCGGCGCAGCGGGATGGGGGGACGTGGGTATGCGCTGGCCTGACGTTAGCCGTCGTTAGGCCTATCGTTACGCTTTGAGGTCTAACGTCGACAACCGGTACACGCAGCTGTTTGACGTGAAGGGGGGGGGGGGGGTATGCGGTGGCCTGATTTTAGGCCTAACGTTAGGCCTATGGTTACGCTTTGGGGTTTAACGTCGTCAACCGGTACGCGCAGTTTTGTGACGTGAGGCGGGAAGGCGGGGGGGGGGGGGGGGGGTATGCGCTGGCCTGACGTTAGGCCTAACGTTACGCTTTGAGGTCAACCGTAAACCGTTGTCAACCGGTACCCGCAGCTAAGGTGATGATGATGATGAGAGAACACATAATTTAAGCACGCGCCGCGCCGAGCTTCGCACTCCCGCCGTTGCCTCACCCAGCGGCGCAACCGTCAAAAGCGAGCAAGGGCGGTCTGCGCGGCGCACCGCCGCACTCCCTGCCGGCGCTGCGGGCGCTTCTGTTCCTCTCGGCGCCGGGGAACATGGTGACGCTTGAAGCATCTATATCGTCGGTGGCCGCAACCTCGCCAGTACACCGCAGACAAACAAAGGGAGCGGAAGGACGACATGAATGCTTTTGGCATTTACAACTCATAAAACGTGCTTAGGCGTCCTCGGAATTTTTATTTTTCAGTTTGGTGCACGGAGGCTCCAGAAAATCGTTTTCAAAGTACCGCTGAAATCATTCCTCCCCGGAGCGTGACGTCACAAAAGGAGTTTTCGGAATCTCTGCTTTCGCACATCTTCAGAGCCTATGAAAACTATGCACGCGTACTCTTAATATCGTCAAAAAAAGTTTTAAAAAAGTATAAAAAGAACAAAAAAAAGAAAAAGAAAAACGTCAAGATTGGTGTCAGTGCGGAGGAATACACCTGCCAACCTTGCAATTGCACGCGCTGCCCAAACGAGCGACACGCGCTTGGCGGCCCAAAGATCTATAGTATGACGTAACGACTGGTCGGAGGTTTTTCACGTTTTTTACGCGTTTAGTCATATCTTCGGGGAAAACTAACATGATATTCAGATTCGCGGAATAAAAATACTCTATAATCCACATATAACTCCTTTTTTTAAGAAAACAATTTTAGTTTATTTTAAAGGCGAAGCGAAGCATAGAACTTCATATTCGGCCACTCGGTTTTCAAGTTGTCAATTTAGAAAGTAATTAAATCGAAGTGTATATTTTCCCATTATACACTCATCGCAGACGTTTCATTATAATTTGATTTCATCTGCATTTGTTAGCGCAGCCATAAGACGGGACTTAGCGCTGCAGCATTTCAGTGTTTCGGGAATTCGAGGGTATCGTTCGGTGCCGCTTCGAAGTGCCGGATTTCTCTGAAGCATAGACCGCGCTCGGTGCATAATTCGTAGGGGCGAATTGAGGACGGCGATAGGATATGAAGTGTCACGCTATCGCCGTCCGCGATCCTGGCGGCGTCACAACATCGTTGGTTGCTGCAGCCAACGCCCGTTTTGTTGCAGGTCGCTCTTCCAGCTTCACAGTCTGCGGAAGTTTTGGCAGCCAACAGTTGGGACGCTGCAACGACAGCGACACTCGCGTTTGCTCCTGCTCTTTTTTTTTTTTTTTTTCGGGACGTTTACGATTAACCAGCACCTCTTGCGACGTTTGAAAAAAAAAATCTGCTTTCGTAGGCTCCCTCTCGCAAGCAACACTTCACCGCTAGGCGGTAAAAATAAAGAGCAGTCAGCGGTGCCGCGGTAATGGACATATCCTCTCGGGTTATTCGAGAATGCAGTGGCACAAGAACAACGCTTAGACGGGAGACAACCTGCGTGCGCAGCGCTCACGCATAGATCTGCTTCAGTTTATATATGGTGGTCATCATCGCCAACGTCATCCGCTACGTCATCAATCACGTGATTGTTCCCAGCCGTCTTATCTGAAACTCTCTGCTGCGCCCGGCCCGCCGACACCGCCGCTGCACTCGCACGTGCCGGCGTATACGCTCACGCCCATACAGCCTTTGCCTTCTCATCTTTACATTTCTGCAGCATAGGGTGAAGCTGTATAGTCTTCAGTTTAACGAGAATCGATGTTGACTTTCCCACATTTTTCATCACATAAGTGCAGGTTCCTGCCGCAATTCTTAGAGAAAAATCAAGTAGACTGATCAAAAACTTTCCTTCCATCGGCGAAAAAAAGAAACGATAATAATTTATGAATGACGACTTAACAAACCGCCAAAAGAAGTGAAGGGTTAGACCTTTGTTATTTTTAGATAAATTGACGTTTGGCTGATTCCTGTAACTTTACTCGAGCTCTATATAGACACTATATTTTATTTCTTTTCGGGGTGCTAGCGACCGGAAGGATTGCTTATGGACTCATCGACAAGTTGGATCGTGGCCGCAGGATGCTGTTGGGGCAACATCTTCGCCTTTGGCATTTTTCGCTCAGCTGCCATCATATACACGGCGCTTCTGAACTCGCTGAACATCACCAGGGAAGAGGCGTCGTGGCCTGTCACGCTGATGGGTATCTTCCTCTGCGTCGGAGGTCTGTGGTACTGTTACTGTGAAGCAATTTCCTTTCCCTTTCTGAGAGACAAGCCACTGACTCCTGATCCCTGAATATGCACAAACTAAAATAATAAACGTTAATATTGAGGGGCAGCGTACACGATAAAGGCATCTTGGATTACGTGGTGCTGCACTCAATTCTGCTTCTATTAATATTATACTGTTACGGGGGTACTAGTTGGTGACGAGTTAAAAATTCAGTAGGCACTCCGCCTTCATTACCCGCTCATTTCTTGAACCGGGCTCTGATTGCGCATGATACGAATAACCATTTGCTGTATTGCCCAAGCATCAAGGAGAATGCAGGGATTGGTGTTCACGCGCCACACGCGCACGCCTTCCCCGCATAAAAGATTCGAAGTAAATGACCAAAATAAAGCGTGGACGAACGCGCGTGCAAGATACAATTTGTTTTAGGTTTTTGCTTTAGAAAATTTACTGCTGCTGAGGCCAGCACGTGTGGCGCGTGGAACACCAATCCCTACATTCTCCTTGATGCTTGGGTAATATAGCAAATGGTCCATAGGTTTAATGCTATCAAAGGCAGAAAGTTCGCGCCGGAGGCGGAACAGCTACTGGATTCTTAACCTGTCACCAACTATAGCCTTTTGCAGAGTCTCTACCATCTCACCGAGCAGAATTAGAGAACCCGGAGCCTACTCGCTTGAGTTGACATTCAAACCTTTTTTTAAAATGCCGTTTGTCCCATGCCGCGTCTCTGATTTTGTCCTTCTATTCTCCAGTGAGCGTCATGCATCCGCATTGAAGCACAACAAAAGGGGGGAAAGTAGAAAACGCGGCAGTTTCTTCCAGTGCGTATTTTGACTAGGGCTGGGCAATCGATCGAGTAACCTACCGATCATTCAAGTAATACTTTAATAGCGATTAATTCTTTAATCTGTGAATCGGTAAAATTTTGAGGAACCAAAAGGAAATAAATATTAAACGCTTTTACCACGCAGACGTGCACGAGAACACCCGCATGACGAGCGAACTTTAGGTGAAAGTTTAACCTAGAACTAACCTGTAGGGCCAAGATATGTAACTCCAGATAAGTGCGGAAGGGTACACGTATCCCGGCCACTTCAACGCTGTGCGAGTGTCCGTTTAGAGCAGCAGATACTATTATGAACGATCAAAGTAGATCGCTCTTGCCAGAGAATGTCAACTAACCTCTTTTTCTCGTGCATTTGTGAACGTGAGTGTCTTTCAACTGTTCTCAACTCCGCACCGAGGTTGGTTCATAATTAAAATTGTACATATTCAGCTAAATCAACGAAGATCGAAATTTTGTCTTTTTTATAATATTATGAATGAAAATGAACGTGACCGATTAATCTATTAATTAATCAAAAAAGGGTGACCATTAATCGAGTTACAATTTATAATCGACGCCACACTCTAAGTTTCACGAAAAGAAAAAAAAACAAAATGCTTCGGCTCTTATTTCCTTATGGTTTCAATCATCTAAAATTTGCACAATTACTCAAGCTCCGGAGTAAACCTATCTAGTGCATGTGACTGTCATTCCAATGAAAACTCTCATGCCATTAGCCACATGTTTTTTCTTAGATGCCGAGTAAAACAGTCATGCTCAGCACACTCAAAGTATCTAGAATGAAATCACTCGAATACAGTTTGTTAAAGTGCCGGACTCGGTAATATGTCGTGTGACTGGAATATGCAATCTGAATTCGTAGGTCCTGTAGCGGGAACACTGGGAAGGCGTCACGGGATCTGGAAGTTGACTGTCCCTGCGTGCCTGGTCGGCGGCCTAGCCGTTTCCGTCTGCTTCTTTGCCAACGGGATATGGTTCCTTGTCGTCTTTTTGGGAGTTATATATGGTGAGTGCACGCTACTTTGGTTATCAAATGCTTAAGTTCTTGTAAAACCTAAATTTCGATTGTAGAACTTTTTGTGAGGCTCATTTTAGGCATCTGAAATGAATGAATGTGTTTTAGCGCTTAATTGATTGATTAACATTTTCTTTATTGAGATTTACATTACTGCTTTGCACTCAAAACGCGCTGTGTTGCGAGAGTAAGAAGCGAAGGGTATAGATGCATGGTAAAATAAAGATTTTGCTATAGTCGGTTGCAAGCTAAGAAAAAACCGGAAATGCCTCTCAGAGGAAAATGTAATCCTACGCCGAGAAACGCCAGCCAATTGTTTTCATGACGTCACGATTCTGTGGACCAATCGCGATCCTTTTGAAAAAAAAAAAAAAGCTCAACATGGCTGCTGGTCTTAGCAACGCGATGCTATAGTTTCTCGTGACAATTATTCTGCTTTTTTGCACCGTGTTTTACGTGCCCGAGGTTACGCCACAAAATCTTGATGGCATCGGCTTGCGTTTGCAGCAGTTTTTGCGCGACAACGTGAGAATCCAGCGACGCTATCGCCAACGAAAATTCCGAAGCGGGCGCGAGGCTTAGCACTGCTGAGAGGTATGTTAGACGGTATGTTAGACAGTATCTTGGACAGAAAATTAATTGGGAAGACGGTACATTCTACATGACTTTCTTTCTTTACTAAACAGCTATTTCGTTGACAAAAACGTATTCTAACTTATTTAAATGTCCTGAATGAATTAAATAAATATTGTAGTAGTTTAAGACAGGTTTCCTGGAGGAAGAAAAAGCAACGTTGCTAGCGAACTACTTTCTCGACGGCGGAGGCACTTCAGATGGGCGCAATGCGCTTGTGGGTGGAGCTAAAAGATTGTTCTTAGGTTGCATCCGACTATAGGAAGAACAGCTTCTTGACTTACCTAACTATACCGATGACGAGAAAATCAAATGGGACAGGTACAGCTCAGAAAATTTGGGATGGAAAAGTTGTTCATAAAATATCTATATTACTAAAATGCTCAGTCACTTTGAACCCAGAAGTCTCCAAATGTTTTGGCTAAGGGGCGGAATTAGGCCTCTGTCGCATTCTCGAGGGCCGGGAAGAAAAATAGTAATTATAAACTAGTAAAAACTAAACTAATAAAACTAGGTAAGAATTTAAACACGGAATGAATGTTAGAGTAAGTATTAGTGAAAAAAAAAACTAAGTTTGATAAATACACATGTTTCAATTTGAAATTTAATATTGATGTACTTACGTTACATAGCAATTGTTACCGCGAAAGCTCACCAGGCATAAATTAAAGCGCGTGAAAACTTCGGTCCATTCGTGCAATGAAAAAAAAGACAAAAAAATGATGAAACTAATCCTGAAACAATGTACACGAGCACGCTAAATCATTTTAATTTAGTTACAGAGACACGATACGGAGGACTGAGAATGGTGATGCTGGGGTGATGAAAATCTTTAGTTATGGCGAGAGCACCCTGTTACGATGCGATTTCTCTCGTTCTTTTCAGTATCTTCTTGTGCGTATTAAAAAAAAAAGAAAACGCGCCGCCGTCTTTTATCTTTTGTTTTTTATATGCATATTTTTTTGGGCCGGTAGCTGAGTGTTTGCTTGAAGCTTGCCGCGTGCCAAGCTTCATTCGAAGGACCGCTACCGCGTTCCGGTCGGAAGGCTTGCGCTGGTCGGACCTGGCCGGCGAACCGGGGTTTGGAGACCTCCGGTTTATATCATAATAGATTTCGCACTGTCCTGATATTAAGTTGCTACATAACGTCGAGCGTAGAACAGATTTCTGTGGAGAAAAAAATTATTTAGTAATCTATTATTTTACTTTTCATGCTTTACCAAGAATAAGAAAGTTGAGTTTATTTCGCTGAACGCTCGAAAAAAAAAAACAACAAAAAACATTCTTTTCTTATTTTTTTGAATGCGGAGAAGGTGTGGGGAAAAGAAGGACGTGAGAAAAGCGCTAAAACTTCAAAGATTATATTACAAATATTATCTTATGCACAACACTTTAATTATCACTTTTATTTGTTTGTTTGCAGGTATCGCCATCTCTTTTATCACACTTTCTACCGCCGTGATACGACAACACTTTACCCGTTACAGAGCTGTCGCTTGTGGAGTAAGTTACGCGGGACTCACTATTGGAGGACTTATATTCCCGCCATTATTCCAATGCTTGGTCGACGAATACAGCACCAGGGGAATGCTCCTAATCGCTGGCGCTCTCATGTTGAACGCTACTGCAGGGGCACTTTTGCAGAGACTACCTCCAGACACAACACCAGGGCCACCACCCTTCGAAAACAAGGACAGCGCATGCATTCCTTTGGATGAAAACAAAGAGAATGAGATTAGTCTATTAGAGTGTGCTAGTGAGAAAGGTGCACAGCTCGGTCTCAACATTACAAAGGCGTCACATAAACGAATAGTTGCCCTCAAAGAGAGCTCAGCATTAATGCTGCCTTTGAAGGAAAAAATATATTCGGATGTTAGTGGAAATGAAGAATGTGTCAAGGGTGCGAAACTCGTAATGAGTTCTAGTGAGGAATGTCTGTCAACGGTGAAACAGTATCACCACGCTAAAAAGGAACACCAAGGGGATGGCTACCTGAAATACACACAAGTTCCATACTCAGGCCTAACAAATGGCGTACGCACCTTCACCGAAACGGAGAATCGCAGCAAGAAGGTCAAAAGTCTGTTGTCTGAGGGGTCTGAGATCGATGATGCATATTACGAGACGCAGAAACATGAAGTCCGACCGAAAAAGACAAACATTCGCTTCAATGTCAACTTTCCTTCGTATCTGAAATTACCCAAGTTCTACCTACTCTCCTTTTCCAATGGCATAAGCACTTTCATTATGTCCACGTACCTCGCTGTCATCGTGGACTTTGCGACGGACCGGAATATTTCCAAGTGGAACGCCGTCCTTCTGCTTACGTTCTACTCGATGGGAGACTTGGCGGCAAGGATGGGATCGGGTTGGATTACGGACAAAGGATTCATCGGCAAGAACTTTATGATGGCCGTCAGTCTCTTTGTCTGTGCAGTGTCGTTGTGTTTGATGCCTTTTTGCCACGCGTTTTATCTTCATGCATTCCTCGCCATAGTCGTAGGTTGGTGCAACGGAGCTACTTTGATTTTGGTTCCGGTGTTTTACATGGATCTTGTGGACGCCGATAGCTTCAGCGAGTGCTTTGGAATATGCATCTTCGTTGCTGGGGTTATGCTTCTTCCAAGACCTCTACTGGTGGGTAAGTGAGTTTCAAGGTTATCGGGTGTGACATCGCTATTAGGGTGCGATTCTTATACATTGTCTCACCGATTCTACGAGCCTACCGGGTCAATTAAGCGGCGCCAAAAGAGCAGCGTCACGGCTAAGCCAAATACGCTCAATGCATGCAGCGTGACCTAGTTTGAGCCTGTGTGTTTGTTAGTGCTTATTCTAGCTTTTGGCTGCGGTCTTATTTGGGCTTATACAAAGAATAGCGCCGAAAATAAAGTCGGTGCGCAGACGAGCTGATGGACGGGGGGGGGGGGGGGGGGGTAGTGTGCAGATGAGCTGGTGAATGTTTACCAAAGTGTCATTAATCTGAGTTTGAGACAGGAGGAAGAAGAAGTGTACTGTGCTAGAAATAAAATGCTAGATGTGTGTCCCAATTCATTTTTTTTTTAAATTTCTATAAATTTTATCTCCCTCCTGCCCCAGGCTGGGGTTAATATCCCTATGGGAAGCATAGTAATAACAGCAGTAACATTGCTAACCCACGGTGTATTGTAAATTATCATAGAGCTCAAACACACGAAAACGCGAACACATGAATAAAGGGCGAGGCACGGGGAATTCAGGGATTTTGATTTGTCTAGCTAATAAAATAGGCATCACATAATTATGAAAACCATGATATTGGGATTTTGATGCCGTTTGGTAGATCCGATTGGTTCGTAAAGCGTCCACTGCTCTCTGGCCTAAATGGTCAACAAAGTACAGACAGGTCACCTGGCACTAAAAAATAAAAGTAGAATATTAAAATAATCCAAGGACCCGGGGTCACTCTCCCATTGCAATATGGTCAACGCAGTCTTTTTTTTTATGTAACTAAAGCAACGGTGGAGCGAAGACCGTAATGGTCGAGTCCCACTATACTCCGTTCACCTTTAAAGGGAAGCTGAAGAGCTTTTCGAAAAAAATGAGTTAATGGTTGATTCTGACGCGTTTGTGCCTGGTGAGTCCAAATATCACAACCATTTGACCCAAAATAATCCCTAAACGCGAAAAAAAGCGAAGAAATCAGAAGCGATCGCCGCAGCGGCACGCCATTGGCTAGCCATGCGTGACGCGCCACTACGTCATAAAAGGACCATCTCGATTCTCGTTTGCTCCGTCGCTTGCGGAAGTTGCCGGGCGCCGGGTCTTCTGCTCTTGTAAATCGGGTTCGGCTTCTGATTTTTCGAAATCTTTCGGTGGATCCGAAAGAGGAATGTGTCCAAACGACCCTCGACGTGACATAGTACGCGTTTCTGCCTTTGGCGAAGTAGGAAAATGACCCCCCGCAGTAATAAACACAGAGACGAGGAACCGCTTGCGCGGACGCGAGCGACATGGCCGGCTTTGTACCTTCAGGAACGTACTGACCGCTACTTATTGTAACCTAAAACGTTGACAATAAACGGAGTGCTATTGACGGGACGCCTCAAGCCGGATTAGCGTGACCCTTCCCAAAACGGTCGTCAGAGGACAGGAATTCTGCACACATCGGCCTTCGTGCTTGCCAGCTGCTGCACGCGTGAGCGTGCAGACTGCATTGTTCATCAAGGCTGAAGTGGTTTGAAGGGATAGTATTCGCGACGAAAGTAATCCCTGGAGAAGGGGAACAAGAGGGACAAAGGACAAACATAGAGAGATCGAACCGTGTCGAGATCGAACCGTGTCGCCACCGTGCGGCCGAAATTGGAAACGCGCGAAAGCGGGGATACCGCCGTGCGTCGTCTGCTACGGGCGCGCGCTCAGAAGCATGGATCTCGACGAGGCAAGCCCGTTTCCGGCTGAGCTTGACATTCCTTATTAATGTCTTCTTTTTCTTGCCGTTTCTTCTTACTAAAGGTTGTGTTGTATCGTTTCCCACGCGTATAAATTCAGCAAAGCGATTATCAATAAGTCGGAAGCTTCCATAATCTTAGTGTGTTGGTTTGTATACAATCGCTCGTCCCACGTATTTTTGTTTTCTCGCACAAACCGTGGCTTTCATAAAGTATTGAATGTTGAGTGGGTCTGCGGTTTGATTAGAAAATTCACCCGACTGATCGGTATCCTTTAATGGACTAATCAATCAATAAATCCGTATGTTGATTTTTCGCCGGTCATATTGCGTGAAAGACGTTAAAACTGCACATTTTTTACTGGTTTTACTAAGTCATAATTATTGCATTCCCATTCTTAACTTTACGTTGTGAGTCCTAAATAAATATGAACACGGAAAGCCTTCTAAAATGAAGTATTCTTTAAGTTATTATTTAAACAGTATAATCACCCTCGGTGGAATGACAAGCAAGAAGTGGTTTACCGTGCAAGCCAGTGTCACAAAAGAAATAAAGACGCCAAAAATATTAAAGCAGGCATTTTTTACTCCTTCTTGACTTTCTCGAGCACAAGACTCCAATTAACCGGCAGAAAAAAAAAAGTGCAATTAAAGCATTACTTGAATAATCTGAAAGTTAATCGATGAACTGCCCAGTCTTACGTTAGATGAGAGCGGAGGGTGATCGGAAAGTCTCGTAAAGGTCTAGCCCCCATCAGTAAAAGAGTATCGCTGCGGCCGATGCTGTCTGTGTCGTAGTGCGCGTCGTTTGTTGGGGTTGCAGAGTCTACTGTGGTTGAATACAAGATTATTTAGCCAGAAATTTGTAGTATTAGCCTCTTGACATCCGCGGCCCTCACCAAGAAAACTGAAGCGGGTGAACTCACACTACCGAGAAAAGCATTTAATAACAGGAACACTGCTGCGTTGCTCGGTCACACCCGTTTATTACAGTCACGGCAGATGTATTAGAACAGTTTGTTTCCCTTGTTTCAGTTGTCCTGCCAATTGTGCACTTTGCAGGTCTTAACTAGAAGAGACACGCTCTCCTCATCGCAACGCAGTCGATTTGTTCAGACTCCACAAAACTTACCCACATTATGGCACAGTAAAAGGGCAGAGGAACTCAACAGCATGATAATTTCCAATACGGGGCTAGCTTATCTTCATTATAAATATTTTTATTACTGCAAAAGCTAGAAGTAAAAAAAAAAGCATTGAAGCTGCGATTTCACAGCCCACAATACCAGTATTATATTATCTGGGTTGGAATTATTGTTTTTTTTAATTGCCACGTTGATGAGCCAATACATCCATTTAAGGAAAAAAAAACGAATATTTAACATAAATATTCCAGTTCAGCCGGAGACAGGCATCAGTCGTGCTGATCCATGCTTTCCAACGTCCGCCTAGAGCAGACGACGCACCCACAGAAGTGATTATATAAATTTAGGCCGCACGCTTGCAACACAATTCGATCTTCACTAAAGCACCGAACAGCACCGCATCCTTTTCCGCTAGAATTGTTTTCCCACCGATAGTATGCGACAAAATAAACGCAAGAATATACGCCGTCTCGCGCGCGAACGTGGAGAGTCTATGGGGCGGCCGTTCTCCTATCCCCGCTTTGATGATGATGATAGCGCGACCGTAGTGCCACCTCTAGGTCGATCTCGAGGCCAATAATCGGCTTCGGGCGACGGGAGAGCTTCCCCTGAGATGAGACGGGTGATAAAATTGGGTCGCCGTTCTGCCAACGCCATGTCCTTGGGCACTATGCGTATAACTGCGCAAAAGGTCCATCCTTGTCATAGCAGTACCCTCTGTTGCATTTAGTTTGTTTGCCGCAAACTAAAGCGGAGATGTGTGCCCGCACCCCTTAATTTTATTCGTTAAAGCTTCCTGGGCCTCTACATTCGCATACTTTTACCAAGATTTGTTGACTGCATCACACCGCCACCAAGCATTATCATCGTCCGATCGCATTTCTACTGCACAAAGAATTGTTGCATTACAGAAACATTGTACGGAAAACACTGCGTAACTTGTAAAAAAAGAACTCAATTCAGAACAGAAAGTCACATGCTTTGTATTTCCACAAGGCTCTCCTGAAGAGAATATGAACCTTTGGAAGGAAAATTTAACACAATTTAGGTTTACGTTTAAAAATTATGTGACCTCAAATAATGTCAGCAACTGTAAAAAAAAAGTTTATGCTAAAACAAGTTGCACCGTGAAAGTCGCATTATGAATTGCATGACTACTTATTAGAGCAAGCCCTCCTCTCCCACGTGACTGGGTAGCCGAGTAGATTAAAAGCAAAAGAAAATAATCTTGGACTACCCAAGATTGTTGTCTTTTGTTTCCCAGATTTCCCGGACCGAAGTCGGTCTGGAAAATATGGTAACTTCAACAATATAAGAAACCAACACTAAACACTAATATAAGGCGGTTAACACAAGAGAGCGAATAGAAACCCGCTATTCGGCTAAATGATCGCGGCTTTTCTAGCACACTGCACAATTCTAATAACGTAATAGTTTTTTTCTAGAACAGTCGACCTACAATTCCTAGCCAGTTACGTTTCCTCTTGGCTTGTGACTTTTAATGCGCTGAATTGCCTTTGTACTTTCAAAGATGGTCGGCAGAGCGTCGGATTCAGGCGAGCCTTCTTCAGACCCAAACCCATACGTACATAGTTTTCATATGCGCCGTCCGAAACACATTTCGAACAAAAAACGGTGTACTTGCTCAAACCCACCCACCCCTTTAAAATCTCGGTGACGAAGTGGAAAAGACAGTAAGCGGGAAGAACAATTGCGACGAGCGCTGTTCGTGAAAGTTGGCGGCTACACAGGAGTACGGCATCGTGCAACACAGCACGAGTCACTTGGTTCGGTGCCACGAGAATTCCGCAAACCCGTGAACAAACAAGAAAACAATCAACACGACAGGCGATTGAGTCAATAGCATGACCACTCAAGGGATAAAAGCAAGCGCTATGCAGCGGCAGAACGACGACGGCTCGAAAAGACACTAGCAGCTACGAGGAAAGCGCGGCCATCCGCGGCGGGGTCCCCCAGCCGGTCCTTTTGTGACGCCGGCTGTCGGGCTTCCTCCTCTCTCCCCTTTCCCTCTGCTTCGGAGAGGCGTGGCTTCGGCACTCCTTTGAAGGCGCTTTTCCGGTTAATCCGCGCAGAAAATGACCAAACGAATACGATATTCGTGATGGATGAGGTCTCGTTAACTAGGTTCAGGTGTTTTTTCTCATATTTAAAACCGCTTCAGGTTCCCTTTAAGGGAATGCTGAACCAAAATCTGGACTCCACAGAACACGGCAGCAGAAGCCTGTAACGGGACGCTACAAACACCAAAACATCACTCATATAGCGATATCTCGAACGGATGACCGTATTTTTCTAAGAGGAGGAGGCGCATTTGAGATATATTAACGTCTTGTTTCTCCGAGAAAAGTCGAGAAAGAGAGGAAACGGCCTCGCGTCGTCTCCGCCTCGCCGCCTTGAGGTGGCGAAGCGAAGAGGGGAGGAAGCGAGATATGTTGACGTCACGCGCCTCGTGGGCTTCGTTCAATCGAGACCTTTTTTTCCGAAAATACGGACGTCCATTCGAGATATCGCCTTATGGGTGGTGTTGTACGGATTCTAGCGTCCCGCCTACCCCTCCTTCATTGTTTTCTGAAATCCAAATTTTGGTTCACCATCCCTTTCAGCTGAGACTGCAGTCAATGGCACAAGCGCAAGAGCTCGAGGTTGCTGCTTTGAAGCCTTCTTCCGCTGGTTGAGCATTCGCGCTAGAAATGCCTGTATTAAGGGAGCGGGCTAGATCGCGCCTATGCGGAGATTAAGTCGCTTGCTCATTGCGCGGGGGTTGCGATGATCACAGAACGCCGAGCCCTTATTGGCTCATTGAAAAACAAAACATTGGGGGTAGACCTCATGGCATCTAGTATTATGGTCTACCCGCTACCCTTTCAATCAAAGTCAATCAGAGCTCAATGTCGTTCTTTCATCATCGCAACTCCTGCGAAAGAAGCAGACGACTTGCTCTCCGCGTAGCTTTGGCTGCAGTCTCGCCTCTAGGGTGAGTAGAGTATAAAGCGACAAACAGAAACAGACAACACCGACAAGCCTCAAATGTGCGCGGGATGCACAGAACGCGAACCTATCTTTGGCAGGCCTGTAATCACTCGTGGTTACTTTACGAGCACCGAGAGATTGCAAGCCTGCCAAAGGTAGCCAAAGGCACCTTCGAGTGCACCCTCTGCATGCGCGACGATTGTCGGTGTGTGATGTTTCTGTTTGTCGATCTGGTAAGGAAGCCTTCATGTGCGCTTTGCTAGGGTGATGCCACCCTTTGTAATACCACTCGCCGACAAATTAGCAGCCATTTTGGTTCTCGGCGATAATCCGTGGGGCTTATAACCCTCCCGGAAACAAGCACCTTACCTCACAAGCTCGGAGCAGCGTTGTGGAACCCATGGAGGGAGGATTAACACTTTCCCTCTCGGATGGGAGGACCGCTGGACACAAAGGTCACTTTCCGGCGCACGGAGAAACAATGAGAGGAACAAAATGGCGGTGGAAGAGGGTGTGGGAAAGGGAAACAGGCAGTTGGCATCACGCTATGCGAAGCGCACATGAAGGCGTTCTAGCTCTAGTGGTACTCGGGCATAAGAGCTTCCTCATCAGAATTATTACGGAACACCCGAACTCTGGGGGTCTCGTCTCGTAGGTTGCGCTATTCTATGTGCAGCTAGACAATGGCTTCGTGGCATAGAGCACTTAATGAAACATCCCGAAGAACGCAGATCGTGCGCACAACGCAGGGGTTGTGGTTGCGTCAGAACGCTGAGCTCTGGTTGGCCCTGATTGAAGGATAGTGGGTATAGACCTCAAAGCAAGATGCTTTGAGCTCTACCCGCTATCCTTCAATCAAAGCTAGTGAGAGCGCTCGCCGTTCTGACGTCAGCACAACCCCTGCAAAAGAGGCAGACGAACTTACGCTCCGCATAGACCTTTGCAAAAACCGTCTTCTGCGCGCTGCCATCTTTGTCTGCTGGACTGTGGAACGCCTTCTGAGCATGCGCTGTTTTGTGCAGTGCGGTATAGACCACAACCTGCGCATGCGTCCACAGCTCGGTGACTCAGCCTTTTTCGTGGGGGTGATAAGCGATGCAAAGGTTTTATATTCTGCTTACTGCTATGAGCGAAGGCAGCCGTCGCCACAATCTGATAGAGCTAATCAGTAAGCGCTAAAAGTGCGTCGTCTGGCGCTTGTCTTTTTTATGCGTGTGCTATTACCCGGTTAAGCCAATCAGGCGCAGTAAAAAGCGCAGGACCACGGCGCATTTATTAAGCGTGATTGGTTTAGCCCGTGATATATACAGTAACACGATGTTTCCAAACAAGCCCGCTTTGCCCACACCAGGTGTGGGCACTGCGCGCGCGCAAAAACCAGATTCGGGAAGAGTAAGGCGTCTGCGCATGCGCAGTGCCGACTGCAGCGCCACCGCAGTGGCGTGACGTCAGTGAGTTGAGTTGGTCTATAGAAAACGCAGAAAGACGATGATGATGATGAACTTTTGGTTCTGCTTGATTGGCTCAATCAGACCGCAGCGTCGGCTGCTATCGGATGTTAAAAAAAAATATTGTACACCGATATTTTCGTAGTCCTGCAATTGATCACTGTATCTGAGCTCCTATCATTCTTTCTGGATATTTTACAATAACACTTTAGCTACTTTTTTGTGACTGTGATGGGAAATATAGGTATTATTACAATAAAGGTGTTGTTTAAAGAAAACTGTTCTTTCTCAAACAAACAAAAAAAAAATACGAACAAAAAAACTAGGCATCTTACTTTGGTTTTAAATAACTTCGTACCGCCTCCGCTGATTTCGTGTTTTGCTAGTACAACGACATTTTGTCTTTGACAACCTAAGAAGCTCAGCGTTTCTTAAGTTGTCAATGTCTAAATCCCGAGCATGTCACCATCGCTCGCCGGTCAATCAGACTGCGGAATTACCCTCCCAAGAACGCAAAATTACAACCCACGAAGCAAACAGCGCAAAGACAACGCCCCACCCCGTGTTTCTTATAACAGAAAGGCAGGGGCGCCTCCTCGGCTTTCACCGAGGAGGCGCCCCTGCGGGAACCGACACTAGGATATACTCCGCATAAACCGACTTTGTTTTGTTTTCTTCTTTTTTTTTTTTATGCATTTTATTGCAGGCTATTTCAGGGATGACTTGGGAGACTACCTGGGATTGTTTCTTCTCACGGGTGGGGTGACGGCCCTCGCCGCCTTCGCTTGGATATTCGATCGAAGGACGTCTGCAGTAACAGCTCCGTCGACGGACACCTGTTGTAAAGTGCCTCTGCCTTTGGGACCACCGCCGGCTTCAGACTGCTTCACCGGACAGAAATCTGTAGCGAAAGAGACCGGCATATAACCGGCTTGTAAAAAAACATTCAAAATCAGAACGTGTTCTATTTTTTTTTTCTTCTGCGACGCGTATTTTTTGCCGGAAACGTTTCAGCAATGTTCCGCGAAACTCGCCGTATAACAAACTAAACGATGACACGTAAGACTGCTTACGCGTAGGAATGCGAAAGCTTTTCTACACGCGGTGCACTCCTACAAGCCAGGCTTGTACGTGTTTCTCAAACAAAGGAATGAATGCTCGTTCCTCGTCTCTTCAGATATTTGGAACGCGTTCCCGCTACAAGTTTCATATGTGAAAAAGGAGCTCGTTCTCGTTGCAGTTAAAATACGGAACGTATCGTTATATATATACGTTACATTTGAATTTTGCTGATTACCATATTTAGATATATCATGCAAATTATTTCTTTTTTTTATCTATCCCATCAAATGGCAAGATACGAATTTGAATGCTTTGATGGAAAGGCACCAGGTGAAGAAAACAAGCGGCAGCAGAGTTTCATTTGTTTTTACATTCACCTTTGAAAATATCAACTTTGAACAATATTTATGTTTGGGGTGATCGATTCAGACGAGCCAAATGTGCTGTTACCCTACATTCTAAGAGGGTTTTAAGCCAACCTCTCGCGTTTAAATTTGTAAACTTCCATTATTCGAACTTAACTGCAGCTTCTTCTCGATGTTGCTGTCCGCAAGACGAGTAAGTGGAGAAAAGGGTAGAGCTTTTGGAAAGTCAGTCTTGAAAACTACAAGTCCTTCTTTGTGAAGGTTGGATTCGTTGTTCTGTCTGAAAGGGGGGTGGGGGGCGGCAAGGGGAGAAGGGATCAAGCTTATTTTTGTGTATCGCTTAGGTAACCAATCTTCGAGATATAAGGGTGCGTTCAGTGTCTGGTGGCGTGTTCTTTTTGTTGTTATCGTAGGTCTCTTTGTGGAAGTTCAGTGATGTGTGTAGTCGGCCTTAAATTCCTGGGTGTATGAGCATTCTTGGAAGCAAGGAAGGTAGATGAATTTGAAACGTCCCTCCTTCTGTGACTTTTCGTGAGACTAAAAGGTTTGCTCTTTGCATCGCAGTCTTGGGCACTGAAAGAAAACGTTGATGTCCGCTAGCTCTCTTGCAACTGACTGTTACCAAGCGAGGGCCGCACAAACTAAACTTTAAGATAAGTAACCAAAACATTAACGAGGTCCTGCTCTTCGTATATATATTGTATTTGTACTTTTAAAATTTCCCCAATGAAAATAAACTAAAAATTACCCCACTGGACAAAAAAAGAAAAGCCGTCCCTTTTTCCGTTCTAGTATAAATATAACGAGTGCCTGTTCCAGTTCCACCGATGCAAAATGGGACGGCGGTGTTCCTTAGACATCGATTTACGGAGACTAAGTAGGAGCACCGCCAAAATTTTACACTAATGGGAAACCGCGATCTACTCTAAAACCGATATTAAAAAGGCTAACACCACATTATCAGCGGGTTGGCTGTTTGTCAAGCAACCCTGTGCACCGACATCGTACCAGCCCCATTCGTACCCAAGGAGGCCAAGCCTGGCCAAGGAGGTTACTTGTTTGTACTTCCAGTTCTTTTGCCGAGCTTTCTGCTGCGTTATCAGCCGTCCCAGCGATTGATTTCTGTTTCTTATGATTATGTTTTAGCAGCCGGTTTTTATTTAAAGGTAGGAAACTGCGTATTTTTACAGACTTTCAGTCGACGGTGCGTGCACTCATAACACACAGTCGGTGTTATGCCGTCGTCGAAGCAATCTTTCGACTTCCGGGCGAACTCGAGACGAACAGGGAAGACAAAACATCGCTGCGAGTATCCGTGGAATGGGCACCGGTGCACAGGGATATCGCGGGCAATAAGTCTGCACACTGTGGCGACGTCAAGGAGCTGTCTCGTTCCATTTCTCGACGAACGGAGACTACGAATGCGAACCTCTTCAGGAAAGCGTTAATATACCTAATAACTTTTGTGACTGCCGCAGAGTCAATGGAGGATTCTGTAGCACGGCCGGCACCACAGAAGAAAAATATTGCTTAAGACCTGTGCTACACTGAAGCCTATGCACACGCCGGACATTTGCAAAAATACCCCGTTTGCCAGCCTAGGAATGTGGAATTAAGATAGAATTGCTGAAGCTCAAGGCAACCTTTTAAGGTTACTCCACTTCAATTCCGAATCGAAAGTTGACAGTGTGACTCAATGTAAGACTTGGCAGAGGCTTGTAAAGAATCTTGGGGAAACGAGTAAAAAGGGTTCTGAACATCCACGATGAAAACACTGTGATCGGTAGTCATATGTCCTTAATATTTCAACAACAGCCTTTGAATTGCGAACTATAAAGCGATTATTGATGTTTAAATTTGAAAGGTGTTTTTGCAGGTATGCTGAAACTTGATATTTCCACAAACCTCTTTCGGTGACCATTTATCGGAAATGGCTGCGCTTCCATGTCTTTCTTAGCACTAAGGAAGACTTGTAGGTGCAGTCCTTTTGATTTTTTTTTGTCTTGCCAGCTAACGTAGTTAACGTGAGACGTTCACACAGTCTGAGTGCTTGGCTCTTCATTTTTGTTTTACCACAATCTTAACCGCTGGAGAGTTCCTTTATAAAGCAGCGCTTGCTCTTTAAATACATACGCCTTGGGGCATTACCACAAAGGGACCTTTTTATACGCCTTCAATACACACTGTTGGTTTGCCACCAAACATTTACCAGGTCTAGTATCCGGAGCATATACTCTCCTCAAACTAGAAATAGCGTCCACACATTCAGATATGCATTGTTGTCTGATAACTTCGTTTGTCTTGTACCCTCCTCAAACCAGGAGGGAGGCCCATGGGGCCCGCCCCTTCCCCCCCCCCCCCCCCCCCCCCCCCCGAAATCTTCCATTTTTCATAGGTCCTCCCCTCCCCCCTCCCCCTCATACAGCATTTTGTCATAAGTGCCCCGCCTCCCCCACCCCCCCGAAAGAAAATCCTGGCTACGTGCCTGCCTCAAACAACATACACACAGACATAAGTATATAGATCCGGAGGTCGGAGGTTCGGCTAAATACAAAACTTGGGACCAAGACCGAAGGTTCACTGAAGGTGTTGAGGTACCACTATATCTCTGAGGTTGGAAATTTGTCCTGCAGCTTGTCGTTTTCCTCGGCGCCCTGTTTCCAGTCGCTACACATTTATTCAGATTTGAGCTCACTTTCCACTGGCTACACCAAGTAGGTGAAATGCCTATGTCCGTTTGCATTATGGGGAGGTCGTCTGATGACTTTATCTCCCTGTATCATACTCAGTCATCGGCGAATAGTTTAATATGAGCCTGTATATTTTCGGTGATAGCATTTATGTATACAAGAAAAAGTAAAGGTACTAAGACACTTCCTTGTGGCACTCACGAAGTAACCAGAGTCAGTGCGGATGTACTACCCTTTAGGACAGCACACTATTCTCGACCTTGCAAATAATTTCGTATTCAGAACGTTGCGACATATGTTTAGCATGGCCAGTTCGTGCAATAATAGCTGATGTGGAACCGAGTTGACACCTTTACGAAAATCTATGCACACACAGCCAACCAGGGGAGTAAATCCGTTCGAAGTCCGGGGGAGGGGGGGGGGGGGGGCATACACTTTGCAGTGGCAGCCACCTTAAAGGGGCGATGCAAAGATTTTTGTACTTTACGCAAATGCCGCTTAGAACAGATCCCTGACGTTAATGACCTGTGAAATACCCGTTTGTGTCTCACCTCACGCAATCGAAGTCCCCAAAAAAAAAAGAAAAAATAAAGAAAAAGGAGCAGAGTTTACTCCCTCAACTCGCAGCCAGAACAAGCGGGCAAGTGATCTGGAGCCGCTTATTTGCCGCCAATGTTGATCATAGCCATGCGCTGGGGTTGGCAAGGCATAGGGCACGCGCTCGTTCCAGACATCGTTATGGTTCGGCTGTTGTTGTCATTGCAGCGATTGGACACAGGACACTACTTGAATGCTTCTCGAGCTATCGATTATCACGAGCCCAAATCGAGTGTCCACGCCATGCTCGCGTCCAATCTATGAGCCGCATTCAAATATCGTCACTGGGCGGTACTGCTACCGCCCAGCTACGTCATCAGGTTTTGCGAAGGAGAGATTGAATGAAAACACTCGGTTTTCTCCTCGAAATTACAGCGCAACGAAGGAGTTTCTTGGTCAGTGGCGTTGCGTGTGAGTATCCTTGAGTCCCACTAGTGCCCTCGTGTAAAGTGATAAACATTCCAATTGAATATCGTTGCACCGCACCTTTAAAGGGGCGATGCAACAATTTTCGTACTTTGTGCAAATACCGCTTAAAACGGATCCCTCACGTTAATGACCTATGAAACACGCGTTTGATTTTCACCCCACGCAATGGAAGTTCCAGAAAAAAATTAAAGAAAAACGAGCACCGTTCACCCCCCCCAATTCGCAGCCAGAACAAGCGGCCACGTGATCTGGAGCCGATTATATGCCTCCAATGTTGATCATAGCCCCGCACTGGGGTTGGCAAAGCACAGGACACGCGCTGAGTTCCAGACATTGTTAAGGCCACGGTCCCACTGAATGTGACAGTTTAGGTACTTTTTGGCAGGTCATTACTCCTCTCCTTTTAAAAACTGTTTTGTGAGATTAATGGCATTCGAAAGGCAATGCAAAACTCTTTCATTTGATATTATGTATGTGTTGGTTTTTACTGTTCATAGCGTGTTTGTAGCGTTGCGAATATGATGGCGCGGACCCTCACTTGCTCCGCTAGTTCATGTTTTATGAACGATCCATTAAAGATAGCACGGTTCCAATATAGCAGTTTTGTTAAGATGATGTCGGAGCAGAATGTAACGATACACTTTTTTGGTATTTGCACTACTTTGTTTTTTTCATCCCTCCTAATATTGCCCTAAAATTTACATTTTTCAGCACAAATATGTTTTTGATGACAAGCGCTAGGGCAATGAAATTAGCTACAGATGTAGTGCTTATAATTGGTAATATGCAGAATAAAACTTAATGTTGTGTGA